AACTATATGTTGAGTCCTATGAGTCTTCCCAGCACATCACCAAACCCAGGAATGGGCTTGGGGACCCATGGCACAGTCCAGTGTAAGTCCAAAGAGCAGAAACTGTGCCTTACATCTATTTGTATTTCTTAGGGTACATAACATAATCTTATACATAACATATATTCATCATACTTGCTGATTATTATCCTCTTAATATATCTAAACCCAGTGTCAAGATGTGTTGCATCTCCACTTCTGTGTTAGTTAATATTGATGAACTGGTTAAATGACAAAAATATATGTGAAATAATGGTATAGTTCAAACAACAAATGAAAAGTTCTTGGCAGGTTCAAAAGTCTATGTAGTCCTCCACCTTGTTTCAAAACAGTTTTGATAATTCTCTGCATGCAAACTTCCTAAAGAATATCCTAAGCATTTTAATTTTTCTTTTTTAATCTATTCACATATCTTTGGAATTTAGCAAAATATAACATACTTCAGTTGTTTGTGACTGATAGAAGAGGCATTTTATCAAGCTTCTGTATTATTTAACTATAGCTCTGTAATGTTTCCAAGGAACAAACAATCCATGCTTCCTTGTGCTTTATATAATTCCTTCAAAACTATACCCCACTTACTGGACAAAATATCAAAGACTGCAACATAGATATCAAAGAAACATTAAAATAAGGCAAAAGAAGGCCCAAGGGATGAAAAGAGTCAGTGAGAAGGAGAATATAGCTTGGTTAAAGAAAGTTCCAAGCTATCTCTGATGACAAAGTACTTTTTTGGTCTTGATCTCTCATAGCAAATAAAAAAAAAAAAAAGCTCTTATTATTTTTAAAACAAACATCATTATCTAACAGCGACTTTATATCAAATGTCAACTATGCAATTCAAAAAAGCAAAAAAATATAACAAGGAATTTTTACAAAGCCATTCAGTGACTCTTCATCTGACAGAAGTTCTATTTCCAGAAGAAAAATTTATAATACTAGAATGTATTCTTTATCAATATATGAGACAAACAATATTTTTAAAAAACATTACTAACATAAAAAATATAAATCATTAAATTAGTGAATACAAACAGCTAGAAAAAGGCCCAAAGCTGAAAGTACCCTCCAGCGTTTGTCAAACCATCTTCCTAAGATACAAATTGGTAACTCCTGGTGATGTAATAATTGACTAACACTAAAATATGTGCAAATATATAGTATTACCAAATGCTAACACAATAGAGACAACTAATGCATTAAAATATGATGCCTGATAAACTTGTTTTGGACCTCAGATGGGCCTCAGGCCTTGTTAATGGGACAGATCCAAGAAAGAGCAATGATCCCATAGTCACAGTTGCTAGAACGGGATTTCTGTTTTGGCTTTTCAGAGGTGAGGAAAGGAGGAGGAAGAAAGAGATTTAGCCACTGTAAAGTTTTCCTTCAGTTCCATTCCCCATGCATTCAATGTTCACTGTTTTAATGTGGACCAAGAAAATCAAATGGAAAAGCTTTCATGTATCAGGTATTTAGCAGAAAGTCAGATCACTTATTAAAATTCCCATATCTTTATCTAAGAACCATACAATTACCAATATACTTTAGTCATTTATTTTAGTGGCTCTATTCACTGCCAATAATGTTTCTGGCAAAAGAAGAATACTATAAAGTTGATATTTATATTTAAATCAGTAACTCATCTTTTGATACTAACAGAGCTTATAATCTTGTCAAAATTTCCACAATAGTAAGAACAGTATTCTCAATTCTGTAAGTATCTAATCTCTAAGTCAAGCTACCTTTACTAATCAAATCAAAGTTCCAAAAGAACAGGTGATCACTATTTTTTCTCTTCAAAAAGAAACATATGCTTTTATGTTTCTTGCTTTACATTATTAAAAACATATTTCATACAAAGATCCTAAAGTTGACACTATTTTAATAATATAATTACTTATTAATTGTCACCCAAAAGCTAAGATTTTTTGTATTAGGTTACAGTTTTCATTATATTGAAATGGTGTAGTTACTGGAACTTACACAAATTCACTGTAGAATAAGAATCATGTAATTATTGACTACAGTCAATTTTAGAAGTACTAGAGTATATAATGATGAAATATTCTAAATGTTATCTGCTGCTAAAGACATTTTAATTGTATTTAAACATTAGGTGAAATATGTAACTTAGACTAAATCAATGTATAGTAAAAACCAATAGTGTATAATGAAGGTATCATGTAAGCTGGTTAAAAAATTATAATGAAGACAGAACTAGTAAGAATATAGCAACCTGGCTGAAATTGATATTCATTAGGGTACTCCTCACATCAATAGGGAGCATTTGGACTCTGTGGTCTTTATCAGTGTCCCAGCTGGTAATGGTTGAAGGTTAATGCCTTACCCAATTCTGTTCAATTTTCTATCCTAATTAGCCCTCCAAATCTATAGCTGTGAGCACCAAGTGTCTGTGCTCAAAAGAAACTAATTAATGCTAGCAAATTAGATCAAGTCCAAAGATCCAACAGCCAAACTCTTAGTTAAATGCTCCTTGTTAATAGGAAGTGTAGCTGTCAATAACTGCTGTTGGTGACTATAATGAGGCATCTTTCCTTCATTGAAAGTGATTTCATTTCTCTTTGTCCCTGGAAAAGCTGTTCCATTCCCTTCACAAACCTAAGTTGCTGGCAGTCTGACCCAATTCTTATGATCAGCTGTGTTGAAATGACATAAAAAAAAAAAAAATCAAACAGAAAAGCTTTCTACATAATCATGTTTCAGGCATTTAGTAGAAAGTCAGATCACTTATTAAAATTCCTATATCTTTATCCAAGAATCAAACAATTAGCATGCACAATGCTTTTATATAAAATCCTATAATTAATAAAGCAAAGGCTATAAACAGTAAATAAACTACAATGCAAGTGTCCTGATTCTAAATTATGTCTTATTGTTCAGTTTAAATGCAGCTTTGTTATGCTGCCTGAGCAATACTAATGTTCATTCTTTCCTAATTTACATGGTTAAACAGGGAAAATACTAAGGATTTATCTTATAAAATAATCAATTTTGGACTCTAAAACACTATTTTGGACCATATGGCCCCAAAAAATCAATCTATGATAACCTATAAGACATTTAAATATTCAAAAATCAATTATAACATACATTCTAATAAGAGCAAATGCACTGAAATAATCCAAATGAATCACAGATTTTAAGATGTTTTTCAAGTCTTCAGCAGACTGTAAAGATATTTAAAAAACAAAACTTAACCATCAACATCCTAAACAACTTTTGATAAAGAAGTAAAAATTAAACACTTTCTCTTCTGTACTATTACAAAGTAGTAGTTGTGCAACACAAATATTTTAAAGTTATACTCTAGTCTTTTTTTTTTTTAAAACTAAAAACAAAGTTTCACTAAGAGTAAACAAAGGCATTTCTGAAAATTAAAGCCATGCAATCATTCTGCATTTTCATCTGAATCGTCAGTAAAAATTAAATCTATAATTGAGTTAGCTGGCTTTCTTTCATTCTAGGTATCAGGACGATGTGTTACAAAACAGCATAAATACAACTTATTTTTATAACTTTAGACTGATATCAATAATAAGCAAATTGTCCTAGTAGTGAAAAGTTAACCCTATAATTTCATTATCCATTTTGAAGTTTTATCCTCCCTCACCTGAATCAGGATGTATATTTTTTTAAAGTTCTATGATGCAAGTGGAGAACATACCTCTTGTGACTATCAGCATGACACCTGCCAATGCCAGATGTGCACCAAACCCTGTTTGCAGGTGCCAATGGTTTAGTTTCTCCTGACACTTGGGGGTGGGCATTGAAGGAAAGTGCTCTGATTAAACAACTAATTCACAGTGAAAGCAAAACTACAGAATGATTACTTATTTTAAATTACTAACTTATGGATAGATTTAAAAATGGAATAGGTCATAATAAGTCATTTAACTTAAGAAAAAGAAATGACCGTCACATTGTAGAATCTAAGGAACTACTCTTATTGTCCCCATCTATCAACTGCAAAAGTCCTCTCTAAGGGCTGACAGCAGAGATGGGGACAGAAATGACACAGTTTTGGAGTTGACACAGCCCTGCTCCCCTGTATAGAAACTTGCAGTGGAAGTACAGCCCATCATCCTCTCTAAAAATTATTGTGGTCCCTCCCCACAGGGAAAAGTGAAGAAGGGGAGCCAGAAAAATAGCATATGTCAGTAAAAGTTTACTACTTCTTTTTGATGCCCACTCCAAGAGGTTGTTTATTTTTTATAGATATTTCTACAGTAACATTGCCATCTGTTTTTCTAGTTACTCATCACTTACAAATGTATTATTCCCTCATTTTTTATCTTCCACTGCTTTGTTTACATTTTTCACTACAGTGTTACATATTAATCAACAATGTCTCTAGATTTATAGAATATAGGAATATTTCATATTAAAAAACATTTTCCAAAGAAAAACATACATGTGGGTGCCTAGTGCAAGCATTTACATAAATATCTCCAAACTTAGAAACATAAAACAAAAAGCTCAAACTCATTGTAGGTCCTTTTGGGATTCCATTAACAATTCTGTAATAGACAATGACACCAAAGAAAATCATCTTAGAATATATACACACACACGCACATATATATATGAATATGTTGATAGATGAAAAACAGGTACATGTTAGATTTGATCTTTCTTCTTTCCCTATCAAAATCACAGAATAACTCAGTTCTTCAAAATACTCATAAAAATTTTTTCTCAATATATAACTGTACTTCTGGGGGAAAAATGTTTTACTAGTAATTTGGGGGAATATTTTTAAATTGTAAATGAATTGAACACTGCTAGAAGTTCTGAAAGCTGAAATACTGTATTTCAGTGAAAGGGTGAGAAGCAATTCATACATATTAATTCACTGACTACTTGACTCTGAGGCTAAGGATTAAATTCAGATCATATTATTAAAAATAAATTTGATCTTTATATGAATATTTGAATCTTACCTTGAACTTGTTCAGAACACCTCTCTCTGGCCTTTTCTCTCATTATTTTAGGGATCAAAACATCTTTTTCGACATGTCTAAGATGTTGCTCTGGAAGAAAAAAAGATCTTTCTTTAATAAAGTCTCAAGTGAATCAACAGATTAGGGGAAAAATAAACACTTTCATTTACTTAAAAGCCTATGCAAATATATTCAAAACTGACTCTTTTACAGCCTGACAAAACTGTGATTATTTTAGTCCCTGAAAATCATCCTAAATATTTTTTGATATACAAAAAAACAAACAAAAAAAATGCAAGCAGCAGAGGCAATATCTTTCCAAAACTTTATGCAAACCATGGCATTTTTACTTGATAACATAGTCCATGTAGTCTTGTCAAGATTAGAATCTAAATCATCATCTTCTTCTTAATATAATTCACAAAAAGAGATTTTTCATTAATACTAACATCCAAGGATAGATGAAGAGATACAAGATTAAGAAACACATGAGTAGATTTTCTACCTGGTAATGAAAGTAGACCTAAGAAAGAAGTGGCAGAAGAAAAAGTAGAACTATGGGTCCATATACAAAGCATATAAGATATCTCTAAATTTTAAACACAGCCTCCACAAGTGGACTAAGATGACAGACTTGAGCACCTGATCCATAGTCCCACCTGCTCCTTAATTTCTAAGAGAGTCCTAAAAAACAAACAAGACGTAAGTATCCTGGGTGAACCAAAAATGTTGAATAATCTCATTAATGAAAAACAAAAGACATCAGGTTAAGGGAGGTAATCATAGTACCCAGGAAAAAAACTGATGCCAAAAGTGGGTGTTGCTCCTGCTCTGAAGCAGCAAAAATGGAAAGTGATAAACTTCCCTGAAGGAAACTAAAGAGTTATTGGTTGAAGTACCTCTGTAAAGCACAAATGGTTGGCTTCTCTTCTGCCTTCAGGCCATGGATGAAAAAAAGTAAGTATAGGTATTTTATTCCCAAAAGACCAGGAAGTTTTCCAGTATCTAGTAACACCTAGGAAAACCACAAACACCTAAATTCTTTCTGGTACTATACTGTCCTCACCGATCTCGGGATGCAGGCAGCAATGAACTGACCTATGTTTGCAGTGAAGCTAACAAGGCATCTCAAAAAGCAAACAAAATCATCAACAAAACAGCCAAGAAGCACACAAATTTGATAAAGGACAACACAGTGAAAGGGTGAAACCAATTAAAATTAATCAAAAAGTAAAGATCTCCAAAGAGGGTTAAAAGAGTAAAGGGTTAAAGATTTTAGAGTACTATAATAAGTTTACTGAGACAAATAAAAAGACATGAGTCCTTAGACAAAATGGCCCATCGATTACCTAAATGCACTTTGATAAAATGTCTGAAATCCCCAAATCCTAAAAGCTTCAAAAGGGAAAAACATTGCCAACATAAAGGAATGAGAATCAGATTTACATCATGTTTCATTGGCAAACATGATGCAACAGGACAATGGAGAAATAACTTCAAACTTCTGAGCATTACTTTATAGCCAAGAATTCTAAAGTCAATTAAACCACCAATTAAGAGTGAGGTTAAAGGCCGGGTGCGGTGGCTCACGCCTGTAATCCTAGCTCTCTGGGAGGCCGAGGCGGGCGGATTGCTCGAGGTCAGGAGTTCAAAACCAGCCTGAGCAAGAGCGAGACCCGGTCTCTACTATAAATAGAAAGAAATTAATTGGCCAACTAATATATATACAAAAAATTAACTGGGCATGGTGGCGCATGCCTGTAGTCCCAGCTACTTGAGAGGCTGAGGCAGGAGGATTGCTTGAGCCAGGAGTTTGAGGTTGCTGTGAGCTAGGCTGACGCCATGGCACTCACTCTAGCCTGGGCAACAAAGTGAGACTCTGTCTCAAAAAAAAAAAAAAAAAAAAAGGAAGGTAAAGTTTAATTTCAGTGTATTTCCATCTGTAATCTTTACAAAATCTATCCTAAGAGTGTACTATGAAAAAAAAAAAAAAAAAAAAAAAAAGAGTGAGGTTAAGGAAATTTTCAGATACGTATGTTTACTACCTTCAAACCCTACAGAAAAAGAAGAAATCTCTTCACTACAGTTGACTTTTGAACAACAAGTGCAGGTCCACTTACACACTGATTTTGCTCAACCAAACAAACATAACAGTATTTGGGGGATGCAAACCTGGATATAGACAGCTGACTTTCCATATACACAGGTTTTCCAGACTACATACAGGACTTGCGTATATACATATTTGGGTATATGGATGGGGTAGTTTAGTTGGTCCTAGAACCAGTCCCCTGGGTATACTGAGGAGGTACTATACTATTGTTATGCAACAACCACTAATCAAACTTAAGTGATGTAGAACAATAAACATTTTATTATGCTTAGGGATTCTATGGGTCATAGGGGACTCATCTGGGAAGGCTCAAATGACTGGTTTTGATTTCAACAGCTGCAAAAGCTGGAGCTAAAGGATTTTCTTCCAAAATTACTTTTCTTCACCTACATATTTGACACCTGGCCTAGAATGGCTCAGGTTTACAGTCCTGAGCACCTACCCATGGCCTCTCTACGTGGAGCCATGAAACACCATTCCTGCTACCTTATACTGATTCAAGTCACTAAGGATAGCCAATACGCAAGTGGAGGGGAATTAGACTTTATTCTTTGTGGCAAGGCCACATTCTAGAAGAGCATGAGGGATAAGAGATAATGTCGTGACCTTCTTTATAAAATAAAATCTGTCACAAGAAGTAATTCTATATTGTGATAGAATAAAATTGAACTCATGATGTACAAATGTGAAATATATAAAGCATATTAGAAAAGCATACATTTAAATTAACTTGTTAAAACTGCAAAGATGAAGATCAAAGCATAAGTCAACGAAGTAGAAGACAAACAAATATAGGGAAAAAACTGATTCTTTGAGAAGATCATTAAAATTTATAAACCACTAGCCAAACTGATCGGGGAAAAAAGGCCACCAATTTCAAACATCAGAAACGATAAAACATTTTAAAATGATAATAAGGGAATATTATGAACAAAGATTAGGCCAATAAACTTGACATCTAAAATGAAATGAACAAATTCCTAAAAAAAAAAAACCATAACCAAAACTCACTCAAGAAGAAAGAGATAACCAGTATTGCCCCATATCTATTAAAGCAATTGAATTTATAGTTAAAAGCCTTCCCACAAAGAAAATTCCAGGCCCAGATAACCTCTCTGATGAACTGACCAAATATTTAATAAAAAAATATCAAAAAATATCAACTCTACACAAACTCTTCCAGAAAAGTGCTCTGAGACCAGCATTACCCTGACACCAAAACCAAAGACATAACAAGAAAAACTCAGCCCTATATCCCTTATGAATATATATGTAAAGATCTTTAAAAAAGATTAATTGAATCCAGTAATAAACAATGTATACAAAGATAATATTAATACGTCATGACCAAGTGGGGTTTATTCCAAGACTGCAGGGTTCACTTAACATTCAAATATCAGTAAGTGTAATTCACCATATTAAGAAACTAAAAAAGGAAAAACACATGGTTATCACATTAGACACAGAAAATACATTTAACAAAAATCCATCAGTAAAGTACTAGAAGGAAACTTCAACATCTGTGGCATCTACAGAAAGAAAAAAAGAAAAACCACAGCTAAAATCATACTTAATGCTGCAACAGTATTTTTTCGCTAAGATAGTGAACAAGCTAAAGAAGTCTGTTCTCACCACTTCTATTCAACATTGTACTAGAGGTTCTAGTCAGGACAATAAGGCAAGAAAAATAAATAAAAGCATCCAGATTGGAAAGGAAAAAATAAAACTCTTATTATTCACAGATAACACAATTGTCTACATAAAATTGAATAGAATCTACAAAAAAGCCACCAGAATAAGTGAGTTTAGCAAGGGTGCCAGACAATCAATATAGAAAACCCAAATGGAGAAAACATGGGAAAAAATCAGAGAACCAGAAGATAATTCCATAGATCCAATTTGCAAAATTAATCAGACAGAAAGGAAATGATACTGAAATAAAATGTAGACAATAGGAATGAAGAAGGAACAACAGAAAGGGTAAATGCAGTAAACTATACTTTTCTTGAGTTTTTAAAATTATTTTGACAGAAGCAAAAATTATACCATTCCTGATGTATTTGGGATGGTATTAAAGATAACTAGATCATAAAGGTGAGAGGGTAAAGCAATTTTGGTGGTGGTAAGATATCTATATTTCATACATTTCACATGAATGATAAAATATTAATGCTGGGAAGCTGTGATAAACCATACATGTATATTGTAATTTCTACCATAACTGCTAAAAATAATTAAGAGATAAACTAAAAAATACTATATAAAACAAAGGGAATACTAAAAATTGAAATCATAGTATCTTCTCTGACCAAATTGGTATCAACTAGAAATCAGTAACAGAAAGGTAACAGGACAATCTCCCAACACTTGATAATTAAATAGCACATTTTTAAATAATCCACAGGTCAGAGAGGAAGTGTCAAAAGAATAAAAGAATACCACATATTGACCTGAATGAAAATACAACATATCAAAATTTGTAATACAAAGAAAGCTACAGCAATGCTCATAGAAAAATTTATAGCAATAAATGTTCATAGTAGAAAAGGTTTCAAACCAATAATCTAAGCTTTCACCTGACAAAACTAGAAAAAGGATAAAATGAACCTAAAGTAAGAATAAGAAAATAGTAAAGATCAGAAATCAATAAAATTGACAACAGAAAACAGATAATCAATTCAAATGTAACTTGTTTTCAGAAAGATCAATAAAAATGCCCCAGATGGTTTCACTAACAAATTTGACAAAATAGCCAAAGAACAAATAATACTAATTCTACAGTCTCTTGCCAACACACTTTTGTAAGTCTGATGGTGGGCCCTCTTCCTTCCCTAGATCAAAAAAGAAAAGGCTCATAAGACCACACCCACCAAGGACAAAACTGCCAGGCCCAGCTGAGAGGAACCACACCCAGATGTCCACCCAGATAAGAACATTTCGGCTTCTGGGTTCCACAAATACTGCCAGCCCCTCCTAT